ACAAGTTAAAGTGGACAAATGCAGGTTTTAGTTCACTATATAGGACATGGTCCTTGACATGGGAAACCATGGCACACAGAAGACATGTTTTCTGTTATATTCTGGGCAGATACAGTTAATGCACAGAAACCTGTAACCCCTTCGTGTCTGGTCTTCTCGGAGGTGGAGGCTGTGACCCATCATTCCCTAGCACCTCAGGGACCCCCCAGACAGCACTGCATCTATCAATAAGCTGCTTCAGACCACCATCCTAAAATGTCTTAGGCTAATATATTGGACCTACATTTTTTTTAAGTCAGTAATTTATATAAAATAAGATGTTAAGAATACCCTTCGTGGTGGATCTTGGGATGGAAGCAGCTGGAAAAGTAATGTGGTGAGAAAAAAATATTATGTTGAAAGATGGCAGGTAGGTAAACATGGTATCGTCCTCCCACAACCACATCAAGATTACAACTACACTACAGAACAACCATCCTTCAGAACCCCCTGGCATCGAGCTGAATGGAAGTCCTACAACTATGGAATTAAAGCAGCAGCCACAGGAGACTGGTAGGAGGGGACGGGCTGGTCCCACACCCATGTGTGGCAGATAAAAATCAGGAGGACACCTCGGCTGGGAAGGTCCTCCCTGAGGACTGAGGGGTCCCGTCCCACACCAGGTGCCCCGCTCAGGGATCCAGTGCCAGGAAGAGAATCCCCATCACTTCTGGCTGTAAAACTAGTGGGAACTGAGGCTCAGGGAGACTGAGGCTCCTGGAGCCCCGGGCAGCTCCTCTTAAAGGGTCCGCGCACGGACTTACTCGGAGCCACTCCCTCTGAGCTCCAGTGTGGGGAAGGCAGCTAGAAAGGCCCCAAGAGACACACTGGGAAGAACTGGGCTCTTTGGCATCAGGGTGCAGTTTGGTGAGGCAGCTTTCTCCTGGACAGAGGTACTGGTGCAGGCTGCTGTTCCTTTGGCGAGCCCTTCCCCCACTGGATGGGCAGGGGGCCACCATATCTGGGACTCCAGCAACCTGGCTCACACTGGTTGCCCCGCCCTGGTGATTCCCTGAGGCCCTGCCCCACACAACTTTCAGGCCCACCCAAGCTGTTTCCAGTGGCTTTATCATAGGATTGACCTATTTTGCTCCTGCTTCATATTTTCCTAAATTTTATCAAACAAGCAGCACCTGGACACAGCAAGCCCCACACCTCTCATTAAGTGGCCCCAGGCCTGGCACTAGAAACAGCCAGCCTTGGCTCTCAGCTGGCTTTACCTGGGCACCTCTAAGCCCAGCACAAGAAGCAGCCATCTGTAGATTGCTTTGTACTTATGCTTGGTGGCCCCAGGCAGAACACAGGCAGAGGCTGACATTGCCCCAGAGCCAGCACACCCAGTGGACAGCGTCAGAATACTGAGAAGCACCACCACCCAACCACCTCCACAAGTGACACACTCAAGGAATGGACTCAGTGGGCACCAGAGCCCTGCTCAAGTAAGTCTTGCTTTTATGTGGTGGGCTCCTGCACAGCTGATCATCCAAGGTAGTCAGAGGCCAGTGGTCAGTGGGCACAGCCAGTCCTTGCAGCTGATCAGCCTGAGTAAATTGCTCCCATTGACGTGCCAACAGCAATCAAGACTCAATTACAACAGAAGGGTGAACAGTCCACACTAGGAGTGCACCTCAAGGGCCCAGCTGGGTGACCAGGGAGGCTGTGTCACTGGACCCTACAGGACACCTACTACAACACACCACCCTAGGAAGCCTAGGAGACATAGCAACTCTACCTGATACATAGAAACAAACACAGAGAGGTAGTCAAAATGAGGATACAAAGAAACATGTCCAAATGAAAGAACAGAACAAAACCCCAGTAAAAAAAAAACTAAATGAAATGGAAATAAGCAATCTAATGGATGCAGAGTTCAAAACACTGCTTATAAAGATGCTCAATGAACTTAGTGAGGCCTCTAGAGCACAATAAGGACCAGTCAGAAATGAAGGAGGCACTAACTGAAATAAAGAATAATTTACAGGGAATCAATAGTAGATTAGGTGAAGCCAAGAAGCAAACCATCAATTGGGAATATAAGAAAGCAAAAAACACCCAATCAGAACAGCAAAAAGAAAAAAGAATCCAAAAAAATGCGTAGAGTATAAGGAGCCTCTGGGACAACTTCAAGCGTACCAACATTCACATCATGGGATGCCAGAAGGAGAAGAGAGAGAGCAAGAATTTGAAACCGTATTTGAAAAAATAATGACAGAAAACTTCCCTAACTTGGTGAAGGAGACAGACATACAAGTCCAGGTAGCGCAGAGAGTCACAAACAAGATGAACCCAAAGAGGTCCACACCAAGACACATCATCATCAAAATGCTAAAGGTTAAAGACAAAGAGAGAATCTTAAAAGCAGCAAGAGAAAAGCAACTCAGTACCTATAACGGAGCTCCCATAAGGCTGTCAGCCGATTTCTCAAAAGAAACTTTGCAGGCCAGGAGGGAGTGGCAAGAAATATTTAAAGTGATGAAAAGCAAGGACCTACAACCAAAAAGCTATTATTTAGAATCTATGGGCATATAAAGTTTCCCAGACAAAAAAAAAAAAAAAAAGCTAAAGGAGTTCATCACCACCAAACCAGTATTATATGAAATGTTGATGGGTCTTCTTGAATAAGAAAATAAAAAATATGAACAATAAAATGGCAATAAATACATATCTGTCAACAATTGAATCAACAAACAAAATGAGCAACAGAACAGAAACAGACTTGTAGGTACAGAGAACTTTCTGTTGGTTGCTAGTTGGGAGGGGACTGGGTGAAAAGATGGGAGGATTAGAAAGTACAAATTGGTTGTTAGACGGATGAACCTCAAAGGGAAGGGGGGAGGTGGGGTGGGAAGAGATAAACCAAAGAACTTGTATGCATGTGTGCATAACCAATGGGCACAGACAGTAGTGTGGGGAAGGCAGGAAGGGGGCAGGTTTGGAGAGGAGGGGGTCAACGGGGAGAAAAGGGGGACATCTGTAATACATTCAACAAAAAAGATAAGTTTAAAAAAAATATATTATGCTTGCCAGTAGCAACTGTTTCTTCTGTAAGCACATGCACTATTACATTATATTTGAAGTCACTCTGGTATCTTCTCTGGCCATTTATGGCTTTTAGTGTAATTCTACAACATAAGTACATCACTTCAACAGTAGTTGAACAACCCCAAGAATTACAATGCATTTGTACTCTCTCACTCGTAAAGAATGCAACAAAAACGGCTACATTTTTATAATTCATAGTAATTACACAACTGTAGGGTGCCTTTAAATTTAATCAGGATTCGCTTCCTCTAGGACTCCTGTGTTGGAAGCCAAGAAATTTGCATGTTTAGAAATGATACATTGTGCTAGAAACAGGCAGTTATGCTGTGCATCAGGAAACTGTTCCAAGTAAAATGCTAAAAGCACTTGGGTCTGTTCTACAAGCCACGGACTGATATATCTTTAATTTCCAAAACGCTGTTTTGACGTTGAGCAGGAAGTCTTTGACTTTTCTTCCTTCTGACTCTCAGGAACCATGGAATTTGGAACTGTACAATGACCTGTGGGCGAGTCTACTTCTGAAGTGCCATGCAGACGGCATGTGTTTCCAGTAAAGATATTAAAGGTTTCTACTGTTGGTGGTAGTAGAAATCCAGGCCAACTACGTTTCAAATTTGCACATGTACTCTTCTGCGGAGGCATTGTTATTAGAAGATATCGGTGATTCAGAAAACATCCATTCAGTGTTGCTCCGGAGCAAATCTGATTGCTTCCCCTGTCCCATCAACCAGAAATGATTAGCTCTCTAAGTCCCCAGAATCTCAGAAACATGATACCAATTCAAGAAATAGGAATCTTCCTTTGAAATATAAACATGAGAAAAAATCCATCCCTCCAGACAATATTTAGTTCAGTGGCAGGGCTGTTAGACTTAAATCTAGCTATGTCTGCGAGGCTGCTCCAGGTTACGTTTCTGCTACTTCAAAAAGAATTCCGATTAGCACTGATTTCCAATAACCTGAACGTCTATGACACCTCCCTGGAGGCTCAAGTTGAGGGTGGCAGACCTCGGTGGCTCTTGTGCACCTGGCATCTTTCAGAAGTCTAGCACAGCGCATTTCCATAGGTGGGAAAGAAGCCAAGGACACGTTAACCAAGTAAGAGAGAGAAGACTTACTGTTTCCAGAGGATTGGTAATTTTCTATGACCTGAAAATGAAATAAAAATAACATTCAGCATCCTCACTCATTTGATAGTAACACTCGAGTAGTCTTGGATGGAACTGGGTCACTACCCTGAAGGATGAGGCTTTCTGAACTGGAGACAATGTATATTCAAAGAAGCTAAAAATCTGTTTGCTTGGTTGGTTTTTGTTTATTTGTTTGTTTGTTTGTTTTGGGGGATGGGGGTTACTTTCAGTGAAATTGAATTTGTAGTAAATATATTTTTGCTCAGATTTTGTAATCTAAACTCATACGTTATAAACTGAGTTCTTCAAAGCTTTACAGATTGACAAGATTCTAAGAACGTGAATGCCCTTGGAAGAAAGCATCTCTCTTAATGCAGGCTTGGCCAAGGTGGTAGCAAGGAATCGATAACGTCCACATTTAAAAGCTTTCTTGACAATGTGTGGGGCCCACAGTTTACCTTTCTTGTAAACTTGAGGTGCTATTTAATAATCCCTTTGTCAGCTCAAAAAAATCCATCCAAATAGGATCACAACAATTTCTTGCACACACACACACACACACACACACACATGCCTTTTATTTGACAATTGTTTAGTTTTTATTTCATATTCATAAAATTAACTCTGCAATCCAACTAGACTTGGAAAGAGCAAAGAAAATATGGAACTCAACAAACTGCGGCGAAAGCATGACTATTATGGAACATTCCAAGTGGATGGGGGTGAAGGGGTGGCTCTCCTGAGCTACAGAAGGAATGGTCTGGTAGTTAAGATAAAATACAAGTCAGATTTATGAGAGTTGTCCACAGTCAGCAATGGTGACCTGTTTGCTGGTCTTGCCATTCCTGGACCCCAAGCTCTCCATGGCTGTCACAACATCCATGCCCCCTTCCACCTGGCCGAAGACACGCGCTTGCCATCCAACCACTCCGTCTTGGCAGTGCGGATGAAAACTGGGAACCTTTGGGTTGGGTCCAGCATTTGCCATGGACAAGATGCCAGGACCCGTGTGCTTCAGGATGAAATTCTCATCATCAAATTTCTCCCCACAGATGGACCTGCCGCCGGTGCCATTACGGGGTGTGAAGTCACCACCCTGGCACATAAATCCCGGAATAATTCTGTGAAAGGAGGAACCTTTGTAACCAAATCCTTTCTCCCCAGTGCTCAGAACAGGAAAGTTTTCTGCCGTCTTTGGAACTTTGTCTGCAAACAGCTCAAAGGTGACGCGGCCCAAGGGATCGCCATCGACGATGATGTCGAAGTACATGATGGGGTTCACCTTGGCGAGGCTCGAGGGGTTCCGGTGCAACGGTGTCTGCAAGGCCCATATGTATGGCTTTTAACTATTTATGTTCCGTAAGGAAGTGCCTTGTGCCTCCTTGGTGAGGCGTCTGTGACAGCCTTGCTCCAACAGCACCTTAACCACGGATTCGTGACACGGATAAACGCTAATGACTTCCTTATTTATAAAGACATTAACTTACTCCATTTCAAATGCCGTAATGTTTTAATACCAAACTAGAAAAACAATACTAAAACATTTGAAAAAGAAATATTTATAAACACACATTCACAAAATCTTAATCCTGATCTAAACTGTTATCTTATGCCCTGACCACTGAAATCCACTCATTTGCCCAGAGTTCAACTTGCAATCTCCTGGTTTATCATGCTCACAACAGGAGTCCTGTTCCCAAACCCAGGCCTGTTCCCACAGTCAGCTCAGCAAAGGCAAGCAGCACGGGCTCCCTTTTCCAATTTGGGGGGCTGTTCTCCATTCCTCTGTCCTCTTTCTCAATTCCCAACCACCGCCAAGCTCTGTCCAGACGACTTCCACATTTCAGCGTGTACACTTCTCTCCACTCCTACTGCCGGTTAGCCGCCCGGAAGGCTGCAGGTGTCTCCTCGTTAGCACGTCTGCTCCCAGTCATCAAAATCTCCCCTTGCAATCCATTCTATCTGCAGCGGCCATTTAAAAATACAAACCAGATCACCCCTCTTCTCTAACTGAAAATATACAGTCTTCGTATTGTACTTGCACAGAGTCCAACGGTCTCTCACAGGTTGGGTCCCACCCCAATCTCATGCTCCGGTGTTCCAGCCTCACACTCTGCTGCTCCCCAAATAGCACAGCTCTGCCCCCACCCAAGGGTTTCTCTGTGCCGCCCTGTCTGCCCTGCATGCTCTTACCCCAAGGTCTTCCCTGCGGCCACTCCATCTGTTCCCTCCACACAAGGAAGCCCGACTCATCCCTGCTCCTGCATCACGTCACACTGCTAGATGTTCTTGGTCATCTGTGATGTGTGTGTTTGCTGTGTCCCTTCAGCCCCTGGACTGTAAACTGCTTCAGAACAGAATTCGTTTTTCTGGTCCACTATGAATACCCCATGCCTAGCACTACGTGTGGCACAGATATCAAATAATAAAACATACTTACTAAATAAATGCTCAACTAATAAGATACTTTATCTTTAGTAACAGAAGCAGTGATACACATGAGTACCTTTAATTTTTTATTGAATGTATTGGGGTGGCGTTAATACAACCGTACAGGTTTTGAGTGTACAACTCAATCAGACACCACCTGCCCACCGCATCATGCCCTCACCACCCAAAGTTAGGCCTCTTTCCCCTCATTTATCCCCCCCCCCTTTGACCACTCCCATCACTAAAATTCACAAGTCCAGTTCGAGTAAATTTATAATGACTTACGACTTAATTTTCAATTAGCTGAAGGGTGTACAGTTTTCCAAACATTCCCCTGCTTGAAAACTCAATTGAGTTTGGGTTCTTCAAACACCTCCCTCAGAATTTAAATAACCAAGTGTTATCATGCTTACACAGTTTTTATAAAAGAAAACTAACATTACACACGGAGCTTTGTCTATAAAACAGGAACTTCAAGTACATGATAAAATGCCCACTTGACTGAAAGTCACCTTTGACTACTGTTGGTATTTTCCACGGGACATCTCCGTGGCCTGCGTGTCGGTGTGTGGAAGCAGGTCAAGCCCCCTGAAGGCGCCTTGAGCCCGTCCACGCCAGCTGAGCAGCATCTCAGTCCAACCCCAGTAACGGACTGAAACACAGCCACATCAACACAGCTCTGTGCCGCTCCAATCCATCAGAACACACTGAGGAGTCTGCACACAAACCTCACATGGAAAATAGTCTGCGATGGAAAACACAGGGTTTTGATTTTGTTTAAATATCAAACACTCTCTTTAAAACAGAAATTACCAATAAATGACAAAGGCCAGAAACATGACTACTGTAGAAGATTATATGTGATTTTGTCATTTCAACAAAGTGCCTGCTGACTCAGGGGGCACAGTCAAGAGCTCCTAGGGCCCTGGACCACACTGGGACCCAGCGACCAGGCTCCCGGGAGGAGGTGCTGACGGTGCATGGGGTGGGGGGGGCACCCTGTCCTCTGCAGTCCATTTGGCTGTGGCTCTAGAACTGCTCTAAAGAATGGGCTTCAAAAACATCATGGGTTGTGATGTGAAGAAACACCTAGAGCATCCTGGGAAAGCTCATTGCTGCTACACACACAGACACAGGGACGTCGCTCATGATTATGTCTAGTTTTCACGTGATGAAACTGATGATAAGCAAGGACACTAAATTTTTATGAAACAAACAGGAGTCAGGTTCTAAAGTTTAGTAGATTACTACATGGCTACTCATTTCTTGGCACCAATCATTTTTGCAAAATGTGTCATTTACATTTGTGCTTCACATTTGATGGTTGTACTTCATTCTGTCTGCTCTTCCTAGATGGAACCAATCACTGGTTCTAACGTCACTGCCTCTTAGTACTACTATTAAAAGAATAGCATTTTTAAAAACATTTGTCTAAATATGTTCTTAAAATTATTGATATAAGGTACCACAGTGTTTATTTTCATAAGAAATTTTTTTTTTTTTCAAGTGGGACTCTTCTAACATTTACTGGTCCCAAATGTCCAGGGACTTCTGCCCAGTGTAACTTTTTCTTTTCTTTTTCTTCTTTAAAAAATAAAATACTGACCTTCTAATGATCCTTTCAACTTGACCATAGAAAGTATTGGAATTTAAACTGTTGAACAAAAAGCAGTTTTTCAGAGAACATTGATTGTAATATTCTTGATGTCTGACAACTAAGGTATTTTTCTTAGTGTTTTCATATACTTGTAAATATGCTAAAATAAAGTTTTCCTAAAGAAAAAGTTAATAGGTAGAAATATTTCATAAGACTAGGCTATAAAATCTACTTGTATCATGAGAACAAAAGAATAAATATTTGCGTAAAGAAAATAAGTTTAATGTTTTAAACTCATTAAATTTCATATCATACCTATTATAATCAGGTCAAGAAAGAAACTCACATGTTCCCTTGAGTCAGTTGATTTTCCTATGATATTTAAATAAATAGGTGGTGTGTTAGAGTCATAAATAACATCAAAGTGTACTATTCATGTGCTGGGATTAAAGTTCTGCTGTTACTGTGAAGTTAATCATCTTTGCAATTATACAATCAAATGAAGAACTTTGAGTATTATTTTTTAGAGGGAGAAGAAAAACCCCTAAGGCTCCTTTTCTTCACACTTTCAAAAAAGAAAGTCTGTGAAGAAAAGAAAGGAGCTTTTTAACTACACATCCTTAGGGAACCCTCTGGACACCGCAGGCATTTAAGAACCATCGTGAAAATGAAGAAATTAAAATGCCCTGGATAGGTTTTTCTGGAGGGTAAAATTGCTAAAGGGAGATAAAACCACAGACAAGTAAAAATTCCTTAGGATAAGGAATACCTACATTCCACAATATATCAATCACCCACAGAATATATATTTCTACTTTTCTGATAAAAAGAAAAAGAAAAAAAATAGCCCTTCATCACACACTCACCTTCTGGATGATAAGAGGAAAAATCAGGCATAAAGTTAACTTAAAAGATTGTTTCCCAGTCCCAGTTAATTCATTCTTCAGGTAAGAAGAAACCGTCCTCCTCCTCAGCCTGGTGCTGCGGAGTCGGGGGGCCCGGAGTCGGGGGACCTGGACAGGTGACCTGCTCACGGGCATCCAGAGAGCTGGAGAGCAGGCTGCGAATTCCACCTGAACATTCCAGCCCGACTGCAGCAACCAGCATCCTTTCCCCGCGTGTCTAGGTCCCAGCAACTGGAGTCTTTAACAAAATCATTTCCTCTGATTTAAAACTGTCTCAAAAACTGAAGACTGAATTTTCTCCTCAATTGAATACACATTAAGTTCGCCACAGGAAGTCACAAACACGGTCCCTGACCAAACCTACTTCCCGGAGGAACTGAGGCTCTGAACAGCCCAGCCTGTCTGCTTACACGCGACGTCTCTTGAAAGGTTTCATTTCCATGTGCTCATCTTTACAGACCATGTGCTTAATCAAACTTTAAAAACTGGGTAGGAAGAGCCGTTATGGAACTTTGCTGACCATGATTTCCTTGGTGTTCAGTCATCATTTAGGGTCAGTTTTATTCCACGCAGGCTGAGGCCCCGGGGGCATGATGTGGGCAGGGAGCTGGTTTGAATAGAGCCTCTCCTCCAGGGTGACGCGTCCCAGCTTAAAAGGTCCAGTTTTTATACTGTTCTTGTTCTCTGGGGTCTGAGATACTTCACCAGCTGGTTTGCAACCAAAAGAGAAGGGAGTGGACAGGAATTGAGAAGAACTGTATCACTGACAACAGGGTAAATAACCAGGAAGCCACTAAGTGGCTTGCAAAGGTGACCTCCGCTGGGCACCGGAGACTTCTCAGCCTGGCACTGTGGCGCCCCCTCTGCATCGCAGGGAAGCCCCCCTTCCAGTGTGTGGTAGGGAAACGCCCAGGACTTGAAGAGAGCCATCCCTTCTTCCGGAGCACCGCTAGTAATGCTTTGCAAGAGCCAAGTAAGACCCAGCCGGTGGGACTCTTTGAAGACAACCTGATGCTACCTATGCCCGTCCTGTATTGATCACCCCAAAGACCTCCAGCAAAAGAATGTGCTTAAGATCTGCCGTGATGGGGAGCGTGCCATTATCAAAACACAACACAACACGGCCAGCCCACAACTGATACAATCTCCTGCATCTGGGAGATTTTATTTCTGTTGTTGTTCACAGGGTCAAAAAATAACCAAATACATGATACCAAATAGGAACATGGGAGATGGGATCATATGTTATATTTTTTTCATTTAGTTTATGTGTAATTTAAATAAATAAATAAATAAAAGTGAAGCTGCGACACACTAATGCAATTCAAAATGTTTCAGTGAGTAACACTGACTGTTTCAACTTTGTGAAAATTGTAAATAATTTTTTTCAATTTTGTGGACAATGCCCGCATTTACATGTTCAAAGCAACTCAGATTTCTTATTGATAGAAATTCAATGGTGGTTGTGGTGGTATTTTGATCAAGTAATAGATTCCATCATTCTCGCTGCTCTTCTGAGTTTCCCTACACAGCAGCCCATGTATTTGACATTGCCTGTCTTTTATGTTCTTCTGCAGAGTTTACTATTAAAATATACTGAACCACCAAAATATGCATTCCATGCAAATACCCCAGCAGGACAATGGGCCATGTACAATCTCACCTTTCCAGCGACCCTCCAACTCTGACTCGCAGGTGTAATTCATAGAACGTTTGGGAAGCCGGTGCATGATTCACGTAATAGTAATTAAAAACAATGTGGAGAGTATACTAAATCTATAGTTGTAACAAAGAAAAAATACACCTGTGTATTCAAACAAACAGTTTTGAAATACTGGGTACTCTGCTTAACACAAGAGGTTTGCTCTCAAGAGGCTATTTTTTAGCATATATTAAGTGCATAAATCAACAGTTGCATAAAAATAGAGTCATATATTATGAAGTGCCAATGAGCTGTGCATACAGGGTATTCACAAGTGAGAGTTATTTTCCTGGAAGGAATAGGAAGAGAACTTTAAAAAAAAAAAAAAGAGAGAGAGAGAGAGAAAGAGATAAAGTACAAGAAGAGTTAAAACTTAAACACAGAGAAAAAATGAGAAAGATGTATTGAAGACAAAGGGTTCTTGCAATTAACAGAAAGGCCAGCTCATCCTAAAAAGTAATCAAACAATGGTTAATAGAAGGGTTATGCTGTTAACATATGAGAACACCGGTTAAAGGGCAAGTTGATGAGATGAATTCCTAAAATCCTGAAGTCAATCTAAATTCCTAAAATCAAGTTCAGGGAATTCAAGTTTATATGTATATATGTATGTATGTATATATCCTCTTTATAAATTATAGAAAAGTGATGTTTTTAAAGTTAATCTCGGATGTTCTACACAGTAGATTGTGGGGTCTCTGGAGCCCCCAAAATGCTATGGGATAAAAGTAACTTCATCCATGCAGAGTTCTGGGTAAAGTTCTCAATCGCAACACTTATCAACGGGGAGAATAAAAGATAAATGAAAGACGTCTCACGGAGGATGGTGAGGGTAGACCAGTTAGCTATGAGAAGCAGGTGGGGGGAGAGAGAGAGAGAGAGAGAGAGAGCCAGGGAGGCGTCGATGCGTTGGCGCGCAGGACACCTGTGGGGGACTGTTTACTGGCAGATGGGAAGCCATCCAGAAAGCCAGCTCACAGGGTGACATGATGAATTATGTCTGAGATGTGCTTGGCTTGAAAGGACAATGGAAAACCCGGGGGGTCATAGCACAGTGTTGCCCCTGAGATGCTGTGGACTTTTAGAGAAGGTTCTACCCTTATCAGAGTCATGAATCCCTTTCAACATCGTCCTTAACAAATTGTCATTCAGCGTGTGCTTGACAGTCCTTAATGACAGGGAACGTCCCTATCTTCTTATCAAGTAAATGTGTTTGGCCCATCCAACCTTTAAACCTGTCCTTCTTGCACTGATGCAAAAACCTACCTCCTGGAACTTCAAGGCTTTGGTGCTAGCTGTTCCCCGGGGAAATGCAAGATAAATCCCATCCTCCTTTCCCGAAACGGACCTGGGAATCGGTGGAGGCACTTTCCACATCCCACTGAGCTTCCTCTTCTCCAGGTTAAACATCATCCGATGCGCGTTCAATCCTTGTCCGTGTCTTCCTTCAAAGTATGGTGTGTGCAACTAAACTACAATTGCTGAGAAAGAGTGGGGTCAAGTAAAAATAACAACAACAATAATAACAACAGAACTTGCCGTTATGCAGATTCCTGAAGCTATGACACAGGGACGACCACTGAAGGAGAAAAAAAAAACAAAAACAAGAGACACCAGGGAGTGGAGCAGAGGGCAGGGAGTTAACCTGAGTAAATGACATAAAAGAAAAGTAAAAAGAAGAGAATAAACAGTCTGGGTCAAAGACAGATTAGAGAAGCACAGAGTAAAACAGGGCAGGGAACGGCCAGCCAAAGAGAGAGTCATGATCACTGGAGTGTTCAAATATTCGAAAATGCTCTTGAGGAATTTATATATATTGTTTTAAAGAGATGAGCCAGGTCACTGGGGTCCTTTATTCATTAACCTAAGAGTTGTGGGTTTAAGGAGAATTGTTAGAGTATAAAAATTGGGGGGCAGTAGAAAGTGAAAAAAATAATGCAACTACAGCACTATAATAATGCTGTTTGTACGTTATGACCCAGATCAAGGGGCACATCTTCAGAGAAATCACCTAGCACCCCAATTTGTGCTTCTGGGACCCCGGCACAGTGACCCCGGAAGCACTGCTTGCCATTCCGTTCAAGTTTTCTCCTCCTCCGTCCTCACCGGAAGCTTGCTCTTCACCATCTCTGCATCCTCCGCATTCAGTCTAATGCCTGACACATGGAACATAGTCGATAGAGATGTGTTGAGTCAGAAAAAGAAATGACCTCTGATGAAAAAAAAAGCTCAAGGGCATTTTAAGGACATGCTAGGTGCTCAGCCCAGTTTGGCCTAGATCACATGTCCTGTTCCTTTGTGAATTCTCCCCATGTTTCTGTGTGCTTGTGCTTCCAACTCCCTGAACCGGAAACCATTTCAGAAGACTGGTTTAGGGTTCATCAAAGCACTCTGCTCATTCCTGAAGAGCAGGGGTGCCAAGGATTTACACGCACATACCACCCCCACCCAGTGGTTTTTAACCAGAGCAAGACCTGAGCCATGGCCCCCGGGGAGAGTAACCCTGACGCATCAGCTAATCAGTTACACGCCGGAGTTTCCTTGAGGAAGTGGGCCAGGGGTACCAGCGGTGGGACTTTGCCTGCAGCCTCTTCCACGCTTTGCCTCCATCCCCCCCTTGTCTTGCCTCCCCAGCTCCTTGTCAGCTTGTTTATACTACGAATACCGTCTTAGTAACTCACCCGCACATCAATCCCTGTCCCAAATCTGCTTCTGGTAAACCTGATCTGAGAGAGAACTCCTTTGAAAATAGGTGGAACTAGTGATATTTCAAAGCAGAGAATGTGGGTCCATGCAGGAAAAATGCTTACATTAAATATGCTGTTGTGTGCACCGTGCTCCACAGAGAGTTGAAGAGGTAGAGAGCTAATCATCAAGTTACATCTTGGGGGTGGGGGGGCATGCCACTGACTGTCCCCTGCCTTGACTGGGAAAGGAGAAAAAAAGAATTTATTAGTGGGAACATGCCCTGTCATTTTTGGGGAATTCTGAAGAATGTGAAGGACAGGATGAAAAATAAATGTCAGCTATGTAAATATAGACGTGTGGATTTGAATATATGAATGAGATATAGGTAGCTATATATATATATATAAGACTCATATATATATATATATAAGTCTACAAAAGACTCTCAAAATATTCCCTTAAGTTTCAAATTCAGGCCGGTTAGGGGTTTCCGGACCATGCAGTAAACAAGCAGGGGACTGTGACAAACAGGACGTGTCAGACCAAGGAGAGAAACAGCACGGACGATGATGTGGTCCTCAGTTTAACAAGCACTTCACAGTCGTTATTTGAACATTTCCAACAGGTCCTTGTCACACGGCATAAATACCAAACTAAGTAAGACCGCGGCTTATGCCCTGTGGTTAGCACATAGAGATACAGTGAGGAGTCACTTAAGTGCATTGAATCACAAGAACAAAATCAGCTTATGAGACATGAACAGTAAAATGAACATATAATAAAAGTAAAGATTTGCAATTTCATGGTAAAATCAGAGAATGATTCCAAAGTCTGCGGAGTTGACTGCACCCTGTCTGAATATATCACCCATTTAAAGGATGTTTCGATCAGAATGGGAGTGGTCAGCTGTAAAATTACAGAAAATGAGATTCAAAAGGTCAAGCAGGACCATGCAAACCCTGCACAGTGGAGAGACTTTCATCCAGACTTTGACATTCAGAGTCTTTGGCAAGGTCATTGATCCCTCATGCGCAATATGCTTACTCTGGCGCCATGAACACATAATTCATCTGGCTTTTACTCTGACCTCAGTCTGACTGGGCATATATTCTTTGAGTCATGTCTGCCAAAATATGGAGCCAGCTGGTGTGAGCATTCCCTGCTATGTGATAGTTATAGATATCATTCTATATTAAAAATCAAAGCTCTCATTCTGTTTTAGGCAACTAAAGGAAATTCTCACTTTCTGGGTGCTATGGTCTTCTTTCTAGGTGCTAATAAAACTGTCAGATTCACCAAGTCATCTTAGCCCGTGACGATCTTTGGGTGACAGCCAATCCAAGCCCCTGGCCTAGCGGTAAGTGTCCTCTGCTTGTGGAAAGTAGCCCTTTAGCGGGCCATTCCCCTCTTCCTCAGCTATGATACCTCCCAGCAGCCTCAGTACTTACACCATCTTGACATCAGACACAAATCTTAAAAACTGTAAGGACCCACTTTCTCTTAAAACACTCTCAGCACCAACAAAATAATCCCGTACATTCTGGTTTAACCTCAGCCCGCAGGAGTTCAAGTGTCTGGGCCCAACCATCATCATGCGAATGGCTATCCCTAGATGGATCTGCACACCCTCAAAGTTGGTCAGTCTCCTATACTTCTATGAGCTCCCTAAATCCTTCCACAGTGCTCTCTGGGATGTGTCATTTGTCATCAGCAGATTCCCTAAATCCTCAAATTCTGCTCTGAACATTGTCTTCTTGGTCTTGTTCTTCCTTGAAATGAAGATGATCTCCTCCAGGTGTCACTACCCCTGCAGCCCACCGTGTTCCATGTTTGCATGAGAATGTGTATCCTTCTGTTCTGGAATGTTCACTAGCCCTCAATTCGATCAATTTTCTATATAAGTGCTTAAATCTTCTATTTACTTAATGATCTTCCTCGCTGGTTTACCCATTGTTGAAAGTGTGGTATGTAAGTCTCCAATAGCTATTGTTCAGTTGTACATTTCTCTCTTTAATTATGTCATCTGTTGATTCACGTATTTGGGACTCCTTAAGGTATACATGTGTTCAGATATTATCACTTACTAATGCATTATCATTTTCTACAACCTTTTCCTTTCAAACTATTTGTATCCTTGACTCTAAATTGCATCTCCTGTAGATGTCACAGAGTTGAATTTTAGTTTTTACCCATCGGACAATCTCTGTCTTTTGTTTGAGTGTTTAACCCATTCACTTTTAATGTTATTACTGATACAGTTTCGAGAAGGTCTTCCATATTTTGTTTTCTATTTTTCTCAAGACCTTTTGTGCTTTTATTTCTCCTTTGCTGCTTTTTATTGGTAAACACATAAATTATTTCTAGTATAACATTTTACTTCTAGATATCTTTTTCAACCTGTTTTTGAGTTATTTCCATAATAGATGCCCTAAGGCTTACCCTATTCATCTTAATTTACAGAATCTATATAAAATATAGACTCACTAAATTCCAGTATGATATAGAAATTCTATACTTATATAGCTTTATTCCCTCTTATACATTTTTGTATTTATTTTGATACATATATTACATCTATATATTTTACCTTAAAATCATGTAGCTTGTTTGTAACATGGTGAAAAGAAACATTATGCAGAGTTATACCCAAATCATTTAGAGCCTTCCCCCCCAAAAAAATTATGTATCTTTATTTCTACACCTTTAAATGATCACCTTTTGAGGCATGTTCCACCCTTTCACTCCTCAGTCCTAGTCCCACTAAAATCTAATTCACTGTGGGCTAGCCAACTGTGTCAGAAATTGCAGGGTATTTTCCTCTGAGCACATGTTGTACTGCCAATTTTGTAAATTTTCAGCATGGTAAGTCACTCCAAAATATGTAAAACACTGGGGCACTGACATATTTATTTCCTCATGCCAAATCTATTTTATTTTCACATGTAGTAAATGATGCCAATAAAAATTAGCCATTAGTTATTTCTTTATTACTTATGCAAGCATCAATATTATTGTAATCCTGCCTAATTAGTTTCAATTTGTCACTCAGGATAAAGGCAATATAAACATTCATTTAGAAGTTATTATGTCTACTAGTCAAAGCTAGGCTACAATATGCTTAATTTTATGAAGCAAGGGCTGAATTCATACACATCCCATTTTATGAAATATTTATCACCGCCACTGCTGCTACTACTGCTACTGAGGAAAAACCATGTGCGGAAAAGCACACGTGCTCTCATCCAGACTATTTTGCCAAGTCAGTATATTAACACGTTCCCGGACAACTCCCAGGAGACATGTTCTCAGTGAAGCACAGTACCAAACTGACCAAGAACGTTTTAGACTTCCTGTAGAATTTTAGTTCCTAGAACAGTATAAATTATTGTATGGGAAATTATCATACTCATCAGGAATACTATTAGAAATAAATGAATTAAAAGTGTCCTAATGTTATATAGGATATATACAAAGGCACCCTGAAAATTCATAGAATAGTATAAATATTATTCTTATTCCAAAGATAAAACAAAGAACAATTTTAATGATCAGAGGAATAAAGAAGATGTCAAATGAAAAAATTAATATAGGGTACCCTTCATGCTGAGAAAGATGGAGAATGTAAATTCTCACAGTCCATACCAATACACTCTTACGATAAAGAAAGAAAACTATGGAATTATTAATGTTTAGATTTGTATCCTTTTTTTAAAATTATTATT